CCTTCCCTATAAGGTTATTGTCGTATTCCAGTAATACCCTCACCTCAGTCTCTAGTTCTCTTTAAATCAGTTTGCTTTGAAGAACTTTGAAAGGGTTACTGGACTATGGGAAAATAAATATGGAGAAGCCACTGAGTCCTAAAGAGAAAGGTTTGGAGTTGCTATGGCTCGACTGGTTGAGTCACATTTAAGTCAGTCTGAATTTTCATGGACAAAAACAGACCTTCCCAACAAAATACCTAAGACAAAAACAAACAAACAAACAAAGTAGGATCAGAGTTGGAGAGTTCCCAAGCAGTTCCTCTCAGAGCTGGGGTGGTAGCAGCAAATAACACTGTTGAAATGGGAGGGAAGAGACAGATTCCTCCATCAGCTAGAAGCAATCTTTTTACATTCTCCCTCTCTCAACATTTCAGCTCTACTGCTAAGTCTGGGACAAACTCTAAACACTGTATAAACTTGGGAACACTGGGGGAGGGCGAGAGAAGTGGAGTCCAGTGTAAGGAACAGTCAGTGAGAATTTCTAAATAACTGAACATCTAAATGAACCACACTTTGTGTGTCTGGGGCTTACAGAGTTAACCCGTCCACTTCCCCATGCCTTATTCATTGCTACTGTTTAGCTAAAAACTAAAACTGTCACCCAAGCAACATCAGTCTCATTAGAAGAAGAGGAACAACCAGCATCAGCAAATATAATGACCCTTTTGAAGGCAGCTGGTTCAGGACCAGTGAATCATTTTGAAATACCCAGACAGGACAAACCACATCAACACCATGTTTAAACAAAATGTGTAAACATGAGCATCAAAAACAAAGTGATGACTCGTCAGCACTCGAGTTCTTCTTTCCCTAGCAGGTCTCCTGGTGATGTACCTAATTAATTTAAAAATCCTATTCAGAGTAAGTGTCCTACCTGTTCAATGAAGACCTCAGGTCAGGCCACACCTGCAGATGTCACTAACAGTTTACTCTCCTTGTGGGTGGGACCTGGGCCCAAAGCACAGAGCAGGAGAGACCTGAGTCAAAGCAGCTGGGAAGCCCAAAGCAATGAAGGCCTGTGTCAGCACGTCAGCAGACCAGCACACCCGAGCCGGAGGAAACCACTGCTGCGGGCCATCCTGCCTTAAGTTCTGGGAGTTACAAGTCACATGTTGCCTCCAGTCTTAATGCGAGGCCCTGGGCAATTTGTTTCCTTCCCTCCTTCACACCCCATCTTTGAGTGCTGATCAAAACATTGAATTTTCTGAGACCCAAAGCCAGTAAAGACTGATGCAAGTGCATAATCTTCATTGCTCTCAAGTCCATCATCTATGAAGCCTGAGTGTGGCTAGAATAAGGCCAGGTGAGACCACGCCATCCCCTCTATTCATACTTCCATTATGTTCTGTCTCGAGGCTTTCCATGCCACCTCTCACTTCTCTCTCGGAGGATTACTTCCAGTTTCAGATCAAGAATCCCTTCATTCTGCCACATGCTGACATTCGCTCAGGTAGTGATCCTGTCACCAAGCTTTCCATTTCTCACATCCCCTCATTATTTGGGACATGTTGAAGGATCCGTTAGATGATAAGGAATAACCTCACATGATCCCACTCAGGATTTTAGAATCTCAGTGGGGGAAAAATCTCGCTTATGGAGGCAGTTTCTCCAAAGGCCCAGCACTCTTTGTGCTCTCCATGAAGCCGTGGGCACCGAGCAGCATCTGCCTCCTCATGGGCCGTGGAAAGGAGGTAACAATGGGAAGTCTGCCACCCCCCACAGGAGGCAGATTTGGAATGGTCTGCTCCCTGAGCATTCCGGGCACTCCATAAAAGTCAGGGAGTAAGAGAGGGGCTGTCAGCATGAGTAGAGGGAAGACCGGATGAGAAAAGAGTGCCATTTGCCTACAACTGCTTACGGTTCTTGTCTATCAGTGTGCCGCTTTCCGGTCCTGCTACTCTGTCTCACCTTCTGCTCCTCCACCCCAACTCTATCTGCCAAATACCTCAAGATGTCTCTAAGAGGCTCTGAATTATTGACGAACCTAGGGAAGATGCTTTGGAAAACATTAAGTACAAAAACAGACCAACCTGTACAGCTAGTGCAAATACTTGGTCATTGGCAGTTTCTTTTAAAGGCAGAAAGAAAAGGGGCGGGGAAGAAGCTTGCTTCTGCTAAATAATAATGATATTCACAGAACAACAGACACGGCAACTCCAAGGTTCACCATCTCCCCAGCTTTACTCACCCCTAGCCACCTTGCTCCTTTATTGGCAGCCTGTTGAATCTGGACTCTTTTCAGGGTGACATGGTAAACAGCTCCTTCCTCTACCTCTTCACCCCAGTCCTGAATCGAGCTCTACCAGGGGATGGGAAAGAGAGAAAGAAAAAGGGTTTTTGTTTTGGTTTGGTTTTTTTCCCCCCTCTCTGCAAACCACAATCTCTCCCAGCTGCTTTGCTGCTTACCCCAGCACTCAGGGCAAAAGACAGGCTGTTCAAAATAAATATTACAATCAGAGCAATATAAGACACATTGCGATAAAGGGAATGCTGAGATTTTCTTGGCCCTCAGCCCCTTCCTGTGGTATCAGGATCCCCGGACTTTTCCATTTATTTTTCCTAAACTCGCTCCCATATATTAAATAATTTTTAAGTCTTTTTCTTCATTCTTAAAGAAACTGGAGTTTAGTCCTGATTAACATTTCCTCCTTAAAAGAAAGGAAAAATAATTCATTGGTAGAAAAAGTCTGGACTTTTATAAGTGGCTCAGTTATTTGAGCGAACTACATTTTAAACTCAGACACAAACAAGCATTTAAAATGCCAAGAGTCCTGACTCTTTTGGAAGTCAAATGCTTCGCATGTCTTTTTCTCCTTTTATTGTTCAGGGACCCAGAAGGTTAGGGGGGGTGGNTTCTTCTGCACTTCTGGCAAGTGCAGAAGAAGCAACACATCATCACGCAGCTCCGAGTGAAACGTGTGCATGGACTCCCTGGACTTCCACGTCCCGGGCTCAACTTCAAGTTTGTGTTAAAGAGCCGCTGAGGCACCGACGCGCTCTCCGCGGTTCACCCGCACTAACAGCTCCTTCTCCTGAAAACCTTTCCTTTTCTGCCATAGATCTGCCCCCCACACACCCAAGGCAAGTGCAGAGAAAGGAGGTATCCTAGAAAGGGAGAAGACCCGCGGCGCGGAAGGCATACAAAGCAAAGCGAGAGCGCGGGGACCGGCTTGCTCGGTTCAGTCCGAGGGAGTCCCAAACACGCCCAGAGAAAGCGGGAGAAGAGTCCCCGGCACAGAGCCTGCGGGAAGGCAGGGGTTCTCGTTACCATTTTAGCTTGCCAAAGCAGTTTCATCCTCAGCCTGCCCTGCGGTACGGCGACGCCGCATGATGCGCCCCGCTCCCCGGCCAGCGCGGCC